GTTTGACATGGGAATTATGATACCATAAAACACAGATGCCACTTTTTCTTGCTCTTGAGATCTATTGGTCCCATGGTGTACATACATATACAAGAGAGTCCCATAGAAAATAGTGACTGCTATTAGGTGGGAGGCACATGTAGAGAAGGCTTTTTTCCTGTCTGCAGCAGAAGATATCCTCAGGATGGCATCCAGGATGCATGTGTAGGAAAAGATGACAACCAGCACAGTGAATGTCAAGTTAAACCTCACAAAGACAGTCAGTACCATGATGTTGACGTGGATACTGGAGCATGACAGGGCAAGGATTGGGGGTACATCACAGAAGAAGTGGTTAATTGCATTGGATTTGCAAAAGTTCAATGAGAAAGTAAAACCTGTGTTTACAGAGGCATTCAGGAAACCCATGAAATATGAACCCAGCAGCAGCTGAATGCAGCGTCTCCGAGACATGACAGTTGGGTAGTGCAGTGGGTTACAGATGGCCACGTATCGGTCCACTGCCATCGCAGCCAGGATGTAGCAGTCACTGGTTACAAAAGTACCATAGACCAGCAATTGCACCAGACATCCTGTGAAGGAGATGGATTGTTTGTTGCACAGGAAATTCTGCAGCATCTTGGGAGTGATAGCAGAGGCATAGCAGAGGTCCACAAAAGCCAAGTGTTGGAGGAGAAAGTACATAGGGGTGTGAAGGGAGGAGTGGCTCTTGATGAGGAGGATCATCCCCACATTGCCTAGTAAGGTGGCTGCATAGGTCACCAGAAATACCATGAAGAGGATGTGCCAAAACTTGTGTTGACCCGCAAATCCCAGCAGAATGAATTCAGTCACTTCAGTGCCATTATTGTGTCCCATGGTTGCTAAAGATTAAACAGCATGTGTAAAGTGGCAAAGAGACAAGAGCAGAAAAGGTATGAACCTGTGATTCTCTTAATGTGGATGTGAAAATGGTATAACATTGGGTTCCACGGTGGGTTTGGAGCATATTTCTGTGACATAATGGACTTGAATTTACAGGCTGAACCTTGGTGCTCAGCACAAATAATTGCCTGTGTATTTTGGAGAAATGGCTATTTGAGCATCAGCTGAGCTCTCAGGAAGTGATTGATGTTTCCTAAATATATCAGTTAAGGCACATAAAATATGCTGGCTTTTATTCACTTATGTTTTTTAAAAATGTTCTCTATATTTTAGTGAAAATACCATTTACCCAAATATAAATTGTCATATCTGAAAACCTTAGCCTGCCCAGATAGTTGTATATGATCTTGCTCTAATTTATGTCCATTTTCCCATTTTACCCCTTTCCCTCCTCACCA